CAGAAACTTTTTAACATCTAAGGATCCCTCTTTTTTTTTTTTTCTTTTTTAGAGAGGGTTGGGAGGGACAGGGGACAGGGAAAGAGAGAATCTCAAGCAGGCATGGAGCCAGATGCGAGGCTCGATCTCACAACCCTGTGATCATGACCTGGGCCAAAGTCAAGAGTCAGACGTTTAACCTGACTGAGACACCCAGCTGCCCCCATAAGGATCCCTCTTGATGCCCTTTTATTGCCACACCCACTGTCCCTCCCCATCCCTAACCCCCTGGCAACCACTTATTCTCCATCTCCAAAATCTTATTTCCAGAATGTTAAGGGACACCTGGGTGGTTCAGTCAGTTAAGCGTCTGCCTTCAGCTAAGGTCATGATCCCAGGGCTCTAGGATCAAGTCCCACATTGAGCTCCCTGCTCCGACGGGATCCTGCTTCACCCCCTGCCTGCCACTCCCCCTGTTGGTGCATTCTCCCTCATGCTCTCTCTCTCTGACAAATAAAATCTTAAAAAAAAAAAAAAACTCTGCCTTAAAAAAAAAAAGTAAATGGAATCATACAATATGTAAATTTAAGCTAATGGGATTGGCTCTTCTCACTCAGCATAATGCTGTTGTCATCCATCTGAGTTGTTGCATGCATCAATAGTTTGTTCCTTTGTAAAGGTGAGTAGTAGTTCATGGTATGGGTGTACCACTCCTTGAAGGATATCTAGTTGTTTCCAGTTGTTTGCTATTGCAAGTAAAGGTGCTATGGACATTCAGGTACAGGCCTTAGTGTGAACATAATTCTCATTTCTCTGTGATAAATGCCCAAGAGCACAATGGCAGTTGCATGTTTAGTTTTTTTAAGAGACTGCCAAATGATTTTCCAGAGTGTCTGTGCTGTTTTACATGTCCACCACCAGTGTATGAGTGATAACATTTCTCTGCATCTTCACCAGCATTTGGTGTTGTCACTCTTCTTCATTTTAGTTATTCTCATAGATATGTAGTATTATTTCCTCATGGTTTTAATTTGTATTGCCCTAATGGCTAATGATGTTGAGCATCTTTCCATGTGTATATTTGCCATCTGTGTATCTTCTTTGGCAAAGTGTCTGTGTCTTTTGCCCATTTTCTAATTGGATTGTTTGAGTTCTTTTACTGTTGTATATTTGAGAGTTCTTTATATATTTTAGATGCAAGTCCTTTCTTAGATGATGGCTTATAAATGTTTTCTCCCAGCCTGTAGTTTGTTTCTTCATTCTCTTAACAGGGTCTTTCACAAAGTTTTTAATTTTCATAGTATTTGTTTTATCAATTTTATGGATCATGCTTTTGGTGTCAATGCTTTGCCTAGCTCTAGAGCCCCAAGATTTTCTCTTACGTTTTTTCCTAAGCTTTTTATAGTTTTATATTTTACATTTAAGTCTGTGGTCTATTTTAAGTTAATTTTTATATATAAGGTGTGAGGTTTAGACAGAGATTCGTTTTCTTGCCTATGGATGTCCAATTGCTCCAACACCATTTGTTCTTCCTTCATTCAGCTGCTTTTGCAACTTTTTCAAAAAGCAGTTGTCTGTACTTATGTGGGCCTGTTTTTAGGTTTTCTGTTTTTTCCCATTGATCTTTATGTGTGTCCCTCTGCCAGTATCACTCAGTTTTGATTAATGTAGCTACATAGTAGACCTTAAAATTGAGTAGAATGATTCCTCCCACTTACCTTGTCAAGATAGTCTGAGCTATTCTAGGGCCCATGCCTTTCTGTACTAACTTTAGGATAAGCTTGTCTATGTCAATAAAAACTTGCTGGGAGTTGCATTAAGCCTAGAGATCATTAAACCTATAATGGGGAAAATTGACATTTTTACTATGAACACGGTATATCTCCATTTATAAGTCTTACTTGAATTCTTTCATCATCATTTTGTAATTTTCAGCATGTAGATCCTGAACATGTTTTTGCTGTTTCTTTTCTGGAGGAGGGGGGTGATTATAAATTGTGTTCTGCTCTTAGTTTTGATTTTCAAATATTCATTGTTAGTATATAGAAATGCAGTTTATTTTTGTGTGTTGATCTTTTATGCGGTCACCTTGCTGAGCTCATTGTTCCTGGAGGGTTTTTTGTAGATTTCTTGGGAATTTCAAGGTAGACTATCATGTCATCTGCAAAAAGGGAAGTTTTATTCTTTTCTTTCTAATCTTTATATTTTTTCTTCTTTCTTATTTATTGCTTTATTGCAATGGCTAGAACTTCAGTGTTACGTTATTTGAGAGTGGTGAGAAAGAACATCCTTGCCATGTTCCCAGTCTGAGGCAAAGTATTCAATCTTTCATTATTTTTAATGTTATTTTCATTCAAATTCTGACTTTATTTACTGGATTTGTAACTAATAGGTGTTCTGAAAACTTACTTAGTTAATGGTTGTGAAGGACTTAGGACAGTGCCTGTCACATAGTAAGTGCTCAGTAAATACTAGTTATTGTATCATTATTGCTCCATATATATGAGCAGCCTTGTTCCAAAACTCAGTATTTAAGGTCCCAAGAACATACCACCTAAACCATATGGGAATACAATCCATATTTGCCACTTTTACCTGTTTGGTGTCTTCCCAGTTAAAGGGAAACAAACTTAATTTGTAAGACTTTTACCTCTGTTCCCATTCCAGTAAACCTTAAAAGGGGGAAAAAAGTCATAGCTCAGCTTTTGTTCCCTCCTTTCCTACTCCCAGGTCTCTCCCTCCCACTTAGCTTCAGAAATATCCTCTAGTCAACTCAGGTCTTTCATTATTAAGTATATTATTGTGGGTTTTTTTTTTAAGGTTTTTATTTATTTATTTGACATAGAGCGTGCACAAGCAGGGGGAGCAACTGACAGAGGAAGAGGGAGAAGCAGGCTCCCTGCTGAGCAGAGAGACCGACGTGGGGCTCGATCCCAGGACCTGGAGATCATGACCCAAGCTGAAGGCAGACACTTAACCAACTGAGCCTCCCAGGCGCCCCTCTTAAGTATTTTGTTAACTGTAGGTTTTTGTAGGTGTTCTTTATGAAGCTCAAGAGGTTCCCTTCTTTTCCTAGTTTGTTGAGAGTTTTTATCATGAATGGATTTGTCAGATGCATTTTCTGCATCAATTGATAGGATCATATGATTTTTCTTAGCTTATTGATATGGTAGGGATTTGTGAATAGTGAACCAGCCTTGCATACCAACAGTGAATCCTGGGGTGTATGATTCTTTTTATATATTTTTTAATTCAACTTGTTAGTACTTTGTTGAGCATTTGCGCATCCAAGTTCGTGGGAAATGCATGTCTGTAGTTTTGTTTTTATGCCCTCTTTTGTCTGGCTTTGATATATATGAGGCAATCCTGGCCTCATAAAATGAGTTAGGAAGTGTTTCTTCCTCTCCTGTTTTCTGGAAATAACTGTAAATTGGTGTTAATTCTTCTTAAGTGTTTGGTAGCATTCTCCACTGAGATCATCTGGCTCTGGAGAGTTCTTGTTTTGGGTGCTTAGGTATGAATTTTGTTACTGTAATAGAACTCTTTAGATTATTTTATTTTGGCTGAGTTGTTAGTTTGTGGTTTTTGAAGAATTGGTATGTTCTAAGTTGTTGAAGTTATTGTTAGCATTCTCTTACTATCCTTCCAGTGGCAATACATGTGTTGTAATATCCCATGTCATTCTTGATATTGGTGATTTGTGTCTTCTCTCTTTTTGTGTTTGCCAATCTTGCTAGAAGTTTGTCAATTTTATCCATTTTTTGAAAGAACCAGTTTTTTAATTTAATTTTCTCTCTCATTTTCCTATTTTTCTCTTTTATTGATTTTTATTCTTTACTGTTTCCTTACTTCAGCCTTGCTTCTGGTTTAATTTGCTCTTTTTCTAGGTTCTTGAGGTCAGAATTTTGATTATCGATTTCTTTCCTCTTTTCCAATATAAGCATTTAGCGCTATGAAGTTTCCTCTCAACAGTATTTTAGCCATATCCTCACATATTTTTTTCTAAGATTTTTACATTTATTTTAGAGAGAGAATGCACAAGTTGGGGGAGGGACAGAAGGAGAGGGAGAGAATCCCAGGCAGATGACCTGCTGAGCTGGGAGCCCAATGCAGGGCTTGATCTCACAACCCTGAGGTATGACCTGAGCCGAAATCAAGAGTCGGCCATTCAACCGACTGATCCACCCAGGCACCTCCATCCCACATATTTTAATATGTTAGGTATTTATTTTTAGTCAGTGCTTTGTATTTTTTTGTTTTTTATGTCTTCCTCTTTGACTTGAGGGTTATCTGGAATTGGGTTGCTTAATTTCCATGTATTTAGAGACTTCTTTCTATTTTGATGTTTAGTATGATTCCATATGGTCAGAGAACATACTCTGTACAGTTTCAGTTTTTTAAGATTTGCTTTTTGGCCCAGGATATGGCTCATTTTAAAACACCAGATTTTTAGGAATTCTAGAGCACCACCCACTCATCGCTACCTCATCCTGCCTCAGCACCTCAGCTACAGCTCACAATGCTTGGCTATCACAGGCAGACAAAAAGAGGCCCAGCGCAGCCTTCTGACGGTTCTGAGTTGGTGACAGAACTGGACCTTGAGCCCCCAGAGCCCTGCCTACCTGGGCCAGGAACCTGGTTCATCTCCCTAAGAGCCTTGGCCATCCGTGACCCTTCCCATGACACGTGATGAACACACAATGAGGCTGAGGCTAGGGCTGGGCAGGTACGGAGGAGCAGCCAGTCCAGGCCCTGTGCCCCTGCACTGTCACCTCTTTCTAATGGGGTGGTGAGCGAGGAGGGGCAACTCAGATGCCTAAGAAGCTTAGGCCCAAATCTCGGCGACGACACCGGGCTGTTGCCCCCCTCACACAGGTCCGCCAGGCGGCCCATTCCCACCCTTGCAAACAGTCCAAGCGCAAAGCCAAGAGCTGTCAGGGCCGCCGTTGCCGCCGCCACAACAGTGTGTACGGGGTTGCCAGCCGGGTGCCAGCAGTTGCCACCTCGTCTCCTTCCTACAGGACCTACAAGAACAGTGAGGAACTTCGGTCTCGCATTGTGTCTGGAATCATCACACCTATCCATGAGCCCTGGGACAAGGCTAGCGTCAGCAGTCCCCACCAGGAGTTTCCGCCTGCCACTGCCAGAGAGGTGGACCCCCTCCGGATTCAGCCACAGCACCCACACACGAGCCGGCAGCCTCCCTGGTGAGTACAGAGCCCCCAGCGGGCAGCCAGCCCGTGCTTCTACCGGATTCTAGCCATAGCCATCCTGCCACCTGGCCCCCTCTCTGGCCTCCATGTGTCTGCAACAGATTGTCAGAGTCTTGGTGGATGGAGACGTAAGTGGAGCAGTGAGTTCTGGTGCGACTCCTAGTCACCCTAACTACCCAGCTTCTTCGGGTTGCAGGGACCAGGGCTAGGCATTTCAGGGAAATGCAGATGCAGAAGTACCTTCCCAGAGGGGATGTAGGCCAACTGTCTTGCCTGTTTCATTTCATTCATGGTAGTCACCTAACCTCGTTGACAACTTCAGAACTTTTCCAAAACAGCATGGGGTATGAGCATGTCTCATCCAGGATCTTAGCAGGTTAGGGTGGCAGCATCTACGACAGGAGACTCTCGTGCTCTGAGGAAAGAGACAAGAACCAGTGGAAGACCTTAGTCTCTGGCTGAGACAGCGCTTCCCAATGTGGAGTCCCCAGTGTGGTAGTAATTGGGGCCTGGGGGTTCACTGTGGGGCCATAATAAGCACTCAGTAAGTGTTCACTACCACTGTTACTTTATCCTGTTTTGCAGTTTTATATCTTTGATTAGTTAAAAAAAAAAATGGGAAATCAGTTCATTACAATAAATAACAATTGGTAAGTCTCTTTGGCACTCTTCGGAAATCCTATGGGGAGGTTGAATAATAAAAAGTAGTTGAAGGGTTGGGAACAGCTTGTCTGATCTAACCTTATTTTATAGACAGGAACAGAGGTAAGATGACCTGCCTGAGGTCACCAGCCACTAATAAAGAGGCAGGGCCAGGGCTGCAGTTCAAGTGTCAAATCCCACTGCAGTGCTCTGCTGTGATGTAGCCAGAATATGGTGGCGAGATTGAAGAACAAGCACTGGACAGCAATCAAGGAGGTTGGGGTGGATTTTTACACTTTAAGTAGATAGTAATTCTCAGCTCTTTCAGACTCACTGCCCATGTCAAAACAAATATTCTGTGAAATCTCCTTTACTTCTCTTGAGATGAAATTCACAGGTAATCTAATTGAATGCACACTTCAAAAGGAATCAGTATAAAGTCCTAACTATAATATAAATGAGAAATAGAGAGTAATTAGTAAGATAATGTCTATTTGATTGTGTAGATGCCTGAGCACAGTTACACTGGAAAATTTAGTCAGACATTTGCACTTGTATATGGAATTATGTTGAATTTGACAATAACAGAAGCTGGCATATACAGATGTATTGGAGCAAAACTCAAATAGTATAAACTGTATTGCTGTTACTAACATGACTTTTCAGAAATGATGACCAGTTCTTAGGAGAATGGCAAACAAAATATTAGATGGACAGTGTCTCATTAGACTTGGGTAATTTATGAAGGCTTTACGCCTCCCTGAATACCTAACAAGACTTTCGAAAGTTGTGTGGGATGCAGGTCATTCTTCTAATGTAGAATTCATTATGTAGAACGTGCAGAGTCTCTGGCGTCTGCCTCAAGTGCTGTGAGGACCCTCCAACCAGGTGGCAAGCAAAAATCCCCCCAGGGCTTCCACAGTGGCACCTGGAAGCTCTGCCACCCTAACTGGGAATCAGACCTGGAGTTTATAATTATGAAGATTAAAATTCCTAGCCTTGGAAGAACCGAAAGAATCAAAAATAACCATGTCGCAACTTCTCCTGAAATAATGTACCTAGGCACCAATCGTCAATGTTTGCTAAAACCCTTAGGTAATAGGTTGATGGAGAACTTTATAATGAATAGATCAGGCTGCTAGCACCTGAGCCCATAGATCAATCTTAACACTAAAAATGGGATAGCCAGACATTAAGTGTCTTCTAATATGATGCAGTCGTAATTACACAGCAGCCTGGATGTAGATATAACTCCCAGATTAAAAGAAGCATGAAGGATAGAAGAATGAGTTAAATAGACACATGAGGATACATGTATTCCAGCCAAAACTGGAACATGAAAATTTTTTACAGGATAAATTAACCCTGTTTTCATTTTCAAATAAATGAATGGCATGAGGAAAAAAAGGGAGAGTGGGGCTGTTATTAAAAGAGTTATGTCAACTAAATACAGTGTTGGACCTTGTTTGGATCTGTGGAGCCCTGATACCAAAACCAAAGACCTCAGAGGAAAACTACAAACCAGTATCCCTTTTGAATACAGATTTTAAAATCCTCAACAAAATACTGGCAAAACAAATCCAGCAACGTAGAAAAAGGATTATATACCATGACCAAAAGAAATTTATCCCAGAAATGGTTGGTTTTACATCTGAAAATCAAGTTAGTGTAACATACCACATAAATAGAACAAAGAACAAAAACCACATGTTTATTTCAATAGAGAAAAAGCATTTGACAAAATCCAACACCCTTTCGTGATAAAAGGATTTAGCAATAGGAGTTTCTTAATAAATAGCATCTGCAGAAAGCCCACAGCTAATATCCTACTTAATGGAGAAAGACCAAATGCTTTCCTCCTAAGATCAGGAACAAGACAAGAATGTCTGCTCTTGTTACTTTTATACAACATCATACTTGAGATTCTAGCCAGGACAATCACTCGAGAAAAAGGAAGAGTATCTAGATTAAAAAGGAAGATGTAAAACAAACTGTTTGCCAATTACATGAGATCCTCGTATAGGATATCTGAAGGAATCCTCTAAAAAAAACTTTTAAAATAAACAAGTTCAGCAATGTCGCAGGATACACGATCAAAAAAACAAAAATCAATTGTATTTCTGTACGTTAGCAATGAACAATCTGAAAATTAAGGAAATGATCCCATTTATAATAACCCCCCAAAGAAAAAATACTTAAGAATAAATTGAACAGAAGTTAACTTGTACACTGAAAACTAACAAAACATTTTTGAAAGAAATTAAGATCTAAATAATGGAAAGACATTCTGTGTTCATAGATAGGAAGACTTAATATTGGCAGTATTCTCCAAATTGATGTACATATTTAATGCAATCCCAATCCCAGAGTTTCTTGCTCGCAGGTTTTTTGTTTTCTGGGGTTTTTGTTTTTGTTTTCAGAAATTGTCAAGCTGATCCTAAAATTCATATGGAAATGCAAGAGAACCAGAATAACTAAAGCAATTTTGAAAAAGAAAAAAAGAAGACTCACACTTTCCAATTTCAAAACTTACTACAAAGCTACAGTAATCAAGACAGTGTGGTACCAGAATAAGGATAGACATATAAAGCCAAGGGAATAGAATTAAGATCCAGAAATAAACCCGTACATCCATGGGCAATTGATTTCAACAAGTGTGCCAAGATAATTCAATAGGGAAACAATAGTCTTTTCAAATGGTGCTGGAACAACTCTATATCCACAGGCAAAAGAATGCAGCTGGACCCCTTCCTCACACAAAAATTGACTTAAAATGGATCATAGACCTAGGCATAAGAGAACTATAACACTCCTAGAAGAAAACAGGAATAAATCTTCATGACCTTGACAGTAGTTTCTTAGATACAACACCAAAAGTACAAAGTGGACTTTGTCAAAATGAAAACCTTTTGTGCATCAGAGGACAGTCAAGAAAGTGAAAAGATAACCCACAGAATGGGAGAGAGCATTTACAAATCATAGTTGATAATAGACTTGTATTCAGAATGCATAACCCTCACAACTCAGTAATAAAAAGACAACCCAATTTATAAATGGTTCTGCTGGCCCATGAGCATGTGAAAAGATGCTCAACATCATTAATCATTAGGGAAATGGAACTCCAAACCACAGTGAAATAGTACTTGTTTGTGCACATCATCACGTACAGCTTCTGTACGTGAATGTCCATGGTATTATTCATACTAGCCAAAAAGTGGAAACAACCTAAATATCCATCAGCCGATGATCCAATATACAAAGCGACACGTGCATACAGTTGAATGTTATTCAGCAGTAAAAAAAGGATGAAGTACTGATGGATGTCACAACCTCTGTGAGCCTTGAAAACATTTTACTAAGCGAGAGGAGCTACATATTGTATGATTTTATGTGAATTGTCCAGAATAGGCAAATCCATAGAGACAGAAAGTAGATTAGTCATTTCCAGGAACTGAGGTGGAGGGATTGGTGGGCATGAATAGGGAATGACTGCTAGTGGGTACAGGGTTTCTTTTTGGGGTGCAGAAAATGTTCTAACTAGAATATTTGCACACTCTGTGAACATCTAAAGACCATTGCACTGTATATTTTAACTGGATGAATTTTATAATATGTGAAATATATCTCAATAAACTGTAAAAGAAAAAAAAAAGGTCCTAGCCTTGGCTTTATTGGAAATGTGAACATACAGCAATAGAAATGAGGCCTCTGGGTTCAGACTGTAAGAGATTGCTCATGATTGAGACTTTGATGTCTTTCCTTCAACTAGAGAGTAGTTTGTTAGTACCTAGGTGGTATTTTATGGGTTCATCATCATACCGGCAGAAGTGATTTATTTAAAATTAGCTGCTGAATGCTTTCCCCCTTAGAAACAAGGCATAGGTATCCACTGTTCACCACTCCTATTCAGCATGGTACTGAACATTTTGCTACCACATTAAGACAAGAAATAAAAGGGATACAGATAAGAGAGGAAGAAATAAAACAGTTCATGTTTGCAGATGACATAATGGTCCAGATAGGAAATCCCAAGGAATCTACCAAATAATAGCAGTAACAACAGTAATAATAATGAGTTCGGCAAGGGTCCCAGCCCAGGGCTCAGAACGAATGTGAACTGGTAACGCAAATGGGATCACAGATTTAAATGTGAAACCTAATGCTACAACACCATAGAACTCAGAGGAGAAAATCTTCCGAATCTAGGGCTTGCTGAAGCGTTCGCAGGACACTAAAAGCACAATCTTCAACAGAAAGTCATGGTTAAATTGTTCTTCATCAAAATTAAAAATGTTTTGCTCTATGAAAGACCCTGTTAAGAGAATGAGAACATAAACTACAGGCTGGGAGAA